CAACAGTTTACTCAGAGCTTTACAGTATAAAGGGGGACAATACAGCAACAATACAGTTCAATACGAGAGGGTTCGGAGGACCCTGATCCTGGTAGCTTATAATCTAAGAGGGAGGGGCTGGTGGTACAAATGGTAATAACTGTGGGGGATGGACTGGTAGGAGGAATAGAAGATTCCATTATTAGCTGAGGGCAGGATAGGCTTCCCTGAAGAGAGAGGTTTTCAGAGATCGCCTAAAAGTGTAGGCTATAGATGGACAAATTGGGGTAGAGAGTTCCCGAAGATGGGGGAGGCTCTTGAGAAGTCTTGGAGATGAGCGTGGGAGAAGGAGACAAGCGAGCTAGAGAGCAGGGGGTTGTGCGAGGAGCAGAGAGGATGATTTGGGTGATATTTGGAGACAAGATCGGTGATGTAATTTTGGGCAGAGTTATAAATGGCTTTATATTATTATTATTATACAGTATTTATATAGCGCCAAAGGGTATGCTCAGCGCTGTACAGTAGCAAGGGGGACAGAACATGAGACAAGATAGTAACAATACAATACACAAGGGGTTCGAGGGTCCTGCTTTTTTGAGCTTACAATCTAGGAGGGAGGGAAAGGTGGCAGAGGAGGAGATGGCTGTGGGGGATGGAGTGGCGGGAGGAGTGGAGGAGGTTAGTTGTTAGGTGAGGTCAGGTGTTAGGTGAGGTTTGGGTAGGCTTCCCTGAAGAGGAGGGTTTTCAGAGTGTGCCTGAAGGTGAGGAGGGTAGGTGACAGTCTGATGGATTGGGGTAAGGAGTTCCAGAGGATGGGGGAAGTCCTGGAGAAGTCCTGCAATCGAGCGTGGGAGGAGGAGACCAGGGAGCTAGAGAGTAGGAGGTCCTGTGAGGAGCGGAGGTCACGGGTAGGGTAGTATTTGGGTATCAGGTCAGTTATGTAGTTTGGGGCGGCATTGTGAATGGCTTTGTAGGTCAGAGTTAGCAGGTTGAATTTGATGCGTTGGGCAATCGGGAGCCAATGAAGGGATTGGCAGAGGGGGGAGGCAGATGTGGAGCAGTTGGTGAGGTGGATGAATCTAGCCGCTGAGTTTAGGATCGACTGGAGTGGGGATAGCATTCGTTTGGGTAGGCCAGTGAGAAGGGAATTGCAATAGTCCAGGCGTGAGATGATGAGGGAGTGTACGAGTTGTTTGGTGGTGTCTGGGGTGTGGAATGTGCGAATCTTGGAGATGTTGGGGAGCTGGAGCCTACAAGATCTAGTTAGCAGTTGGATGTGGGGTAGGAAGGAGAGGTAAATTTGGGTGTCGTCGGCATAGAGGTGGTAATTGAAGCTGTGGCAGTGAATACGTTTGCCAAGGGAGGAGGTATAGATGGAGAAAAGGAGGGGCCCGAGGACAGAGCCTTGGGGGACCCTGACAGAGAAGGGGAGGGAGGGGGAGGTGGCAGTGTTGTAGGTGATGCTGAAGGAGCGTTGGGAAAGGTAGGAGGAGAACCAGGAGAGAGCAGCATCCTTGATGCCCAGGGAGTGCAGTTTAGCAAGGAGGAGAGGGTGGTCAACAGTGTCGAAGGCCGCGGAGAGGTCGAAGAGCAGGAGGATAGAATAGTGGCCATTGGCTCTGGCGGTTAGGAGGTCGTTTGTGATTTTAAGTATGGTGGTTTCGGTGGAGTGCAGGGGACAGAAGCCAGACTGTAGGGGGTCAAGGAGGTTGTTATCAGTGAGGTGGGCGCTTAGGCGATTGTAGGCCAGGCGCTCAAGGAGCTTGGAAGTGAAGGGCAGCAAGGAGATGGGTCTAAGGTTGTTAAGGTTGGTGGGGTCAAGGGAGGGTTTTCTGAGTATGGGGGTGATGTGTGCGTGCTTTAGAGGGGAGGGGAAGGTGCCAGTGGAGAGGGAGAGATTGAAGATGTGGGTGAGGGAGCGAATGATGGAGGGGGGGTGACTGGAGGAGCTGTGAGGGGATAGGGTCCAGGGGGCAGGTGGTGAGGCAGGCTTCAGTGAAGACCTTAGAGACCTCCTCGGGGGTGGTTGGGCTGAAGGAGCGGAGTGTTGGGGAGGTGATGATGTGCGGGGCATTAGGTATAGTGGGGGGTAGTGCGGCTATGAGGTCGGGGGAGAGGACGGTTGAGGGGTTGAAGGAGGGCGGGAGGCTGGGTGGAGAGGTGGATTGTGAGTTGACAATGTCCTTACGGATTGCGTCAATCTTGTTTTGGAAGTGATTGGCAATCTCGTGGGCGGTGAGTGAGGTGCTGGGTGGGGGTGGAGGGGGAGAGCAGAGATTTGAAAGTGGAGAAGAGCCAACGAGAGACAGGTGGAGAGGGTGTTGATAAGGGTTATGAAATAGGCTTGCTTGGCGGCGTGGAGGGAGGTGGTGTAGGCGAGGTAGGCGGCTTTATAGAGGGAGAACGCGCGAGGGGATCTAGTTTTGCGCCATAAGCGCTCCAGCGCGCGACTGCGTCATTTGAGGCATTTCGTGTGGTCATTTTGCCAGGGTAGAAGCGGTCGGGGTCTAATGCTATGTGTGGTTAGGGGTGCCAGGGAGTCAAGGGCAGCTGACAGTGAGTCATTGTATGCAGTAGTGGCCAGGTCAGGGCATGACAGAGGGAGGATACTGTCATACAGACGGTCAGCTGCTGGGTGGAGATGGGTCGGGTTCAGATTGCGGAGGTTGCGGGTGATGGTTAGACGCTTGGGGGGGGGGAGTTGAGGGAGGGGGAGATGGAAAATGTGAGGAGGTGGTGGTCAGAGAGGGGGAAGGGGGTGTTAGTGAAGTCGTGGGGGGTGCAGAGGTGGGAGAAAACGAGGTCCAGGTGTTTCCATTGGAGTGGGTGGAGGACTGAGTGTGCTGTGTGAGCGCGAAGGAAGAGGTTAGAAGGAGGAGTTGGAAGTAGCAGGGCTGTGTTGGCGTTGATCGGGATATTGAAGTCACCTAGGATGATGGTCGGTAGCTCGGAGGAGAGGAAGAAGGGAAGCCAGGCGGCAAAGTCGTCTAGGAAGGGGGATGAGGAGCCAGGAGGCCGATAGATTACCGCAATCCTTAGGGGGGTGGGAGAGAAGAGCCGGATGCAGTGGGCCTCGAAGGAGGAGAAGGATAGGGAGGAAGGGTTAGGGAGGACCTGGAAGGTGCTCAGCAGTGGTAGGAGCATACCGACCCCTCCGCCTCGTCGTCCGCTCGGTCTGGGTGAATGGGTCTAGACGAGGCCTCCAAAGGAGAGGGCAGCAGGGGAGGTGGAGTCAGTGGCTTGGATCCAATGTTTTGAAATGTATTTGTTGGACAATGGGAAGCCAGTGGAGGGATTGTCAGAGAGGGGTGGAAGATATGGAATGGTTGATGAGGTGAATGAGTCTGGCAGCAGCATTCATGAAAGACTGAAGAGGGGATAACCTGCGATTAGCTAGTTCAATGGGGAGGAATTACAATAGTTAGCATCTACCTGTGTATATCCATAGATTCCCAGTATCTCTGCCATTGGAATTGTTGTCACTGAACAAAGATCTCCAATGAAACCCACCAGTTCAGCTTCTTTAGAACATGAATAATTAGGGACTGTCTTCCGTGGTCCAGATAAAATCCTTAGAACATTCCTTACAACAAAACTAGGATGCAAACATGAGTCTAGCATACGAAATCCAAGCGTAAGATTCGGCAAAATTTTTGGATTCTTATTAACATCGCGTATAGCAGAAAGAAAAGCAAAAACATTTATAAGTGTATGTCTATCAAATCTGTAAAGAAAAAATATTTGTGGTGGATTAGCATACATTTACAATGGACTTACACCAACTGGCCTCTGATGGCCTCTCCTACATCTCTGACAAAACAAACACTCGTCTTGGTGGCACAGAGACACATTAAGCTATACGCTAGTAGATTTTCAAGCAATGTTTGAAAACAAAAATGTGTTCAAAAATTATCAGAACATTCAATGACTTGATGAATGTTGTTCGAAAGTAGTTCAAAATGTAATTTGCTTTTAGCATTCTATTTGGGAACAAATAGACTTAACCGAACGAATCCACATAGGCATCAATGTGGTTAAAAACAAACATTAATTTGACCCCATTAATGATGAAAAAAATCAAAGAATGTTCTTAGAATTACATTTTTCAAACAAAATTCTATTTGTCTATATCCAGCTTAAGTGTCTGGCTTGTCAAAGGTGGGGACAGGAAATTGTAGGCCACTACACACATGTTCACTAAACGCTGTCTAACACTTTTAAGTAGACATGACTGGATTTAAATTCAGATTATTTTTTCAGTAAGGAATGAATAACCACTTCAAAAACGATTTTATCTTACAAGATTTAGAGAGTGAAAAAGTGAGGTGATGCAGCAATGATGGTGGTTAAGTAGTGTCACTATCTATAAATGAAATAGAAGCACTCACCAGAAAGCCTCCTGGTTCCAAGTATACCAACTAGCCTTCAGTTTTGCCTCCTCCCAAGCCACACCCCAATAACATGTTTCACCTGGTCATGGGCCTAACCTCTACGATTACATGATCACAGGGTCACCTGTGTCTGGTTTTATTTGTGTGCCATATATTGAGCAATGGTAGCTAAGACTATGGGTATTGAATGGTATTTCCCAGTGAGATCACATATATGGCAAATAACAATGTCAACAGAGATGAGTGTATCCCTGCAATGACCTTTAGTGATTTTCCTGACAAGATGGGTTTGATCCAGCTAAGCCTCCTAGACCACAGATCATATATATATATATATATTATGTGGGAACTCGCTTCAAAGTGGTAGAGCTTTTAAACGCACACAGCTACTCGCTTTCTTTTTCAGGGCCTTTTTAGCCCACTTTTATTTAAATGAAACAATAACATAAGAGGTTCCCACGCAGGGGTATCCACCATCACACAAAACAAAATTCAGCCTCCTGGCTTATACTCAGCTTGATGTCTGCCTCCTGCAGACTTCTTCTAGACACGGCTCTTGCACACCACTGGCCACTAGCACACAGCTAGTCTCTAGCAGCCCCTTGCTGCTTTTTGGCTTCCACCTCTCCTAGGTGAAGCCCACCTGACTCCTATCTGCCGGGGTGGAGCCCTGCTGACTCCTAGCTGCCGGGGTGGAGCCCAGAACCCTGGTCCTGACTCTCTCTAAAGGCCTGCACACACCTGTGCAATCAGTCTCCTGGCCATTCCCAAAACCTGGTCCCAGGATTGGAGATTTCATCCCTCCCAAATCGCTTCGAAATCTCCAGGCTCCAGATCCCAAAACAGACCTTACAAACAAAGGAGGAAGGTGAAAAGCCACTTTCCTCCATATCAAACACTTACCCTGGAGCCCCTCAACCTGCCTTGTTGAGAATCCAGGGTGACAGATCGCCACACTGTCACAATATATACTACTGTATACTACCAAAAGTAGTGGGATGCCTAACTTTATACACACATGAACTTTATTAACATCCCAGTCTTAGTCTGTAGGGTTCAATGTTAAGTTGGCCTATCCTTTGTAGCCATAACAACTTCAAAACTTCTGGGAAGGCTGTCCACACAGTTTAGGAGTGTGTCTATGGGAATGTTTCACCATTCTTCCAAAGGCACATTTGTGAGGTCAAGCACTAATGTCGGCCAAGAAGGCCTGGCTCGCAGTCTCCAATCTAATTCATCCCAAAGGTGTTCTCTGGGGTTGAGGTCACGACAGTCAAGTTCCTCCATCCCAAACTCGCTTATCCATGTCTTTATGGACCTTGCTTTGTGTACTGGTGTGCAGTGATGTTGGAACAAGAAGGAGCCATCCCCAAACTCTTCCCACAAAGTTGAGAGCATGAAATTGTCCAAAATATCTTGATGTGCTGACACCTTAAGAGTTCCCTTCACTGGTACTAGTCGGCCAAGCCCAACCCCTCAGTTGCAGTGAAGGGAACTCTTAAGGTATTATCATACCAAGACATTTTGGACAATTTCATGCTCTCAACTTTGTGGGAACAGTTTGGGGATGGTTCCTTCCTGTTAAAACATGACTGCACACCAGTGCACAAAGAAAAGTCCATAAAGACATAGATGAGCGAGTTTGGGATGGAGGAACTTGACTGGTCTGCTCAGAGTCCTGACCTCAACCCGATAGAACACCTTTACGATGAATTAGAGCGGAGACTGTGAGCCAGGCCTTTCGGCTGGCATCAGCAGGTGCGGACTGACCATTTGGAAACTCGGACACTGCCCAAGGGCCCGGGGTCAGTAGGGGGCCCCATGAGATGCCCCGGTTTCTTTTTCATAGGCTTTTTTGAGTTTGGGCAAGGACACAGGGGCCCTATGATCCCCTATTGCCCGAGGACCCCATGAGTTGTCTGTCCGCCCCTGGTCATCAGTGTCTGACCTCACAAATGTGCTTCTGGAAGAATGGTCAAAATTCCCATAGACGCCCTCCTAAACCTTGTGGAAAGCCTTCCCAGAAGAGTTGAAGCTGTTATAGTTGCAAAGGGCGGGGCCCACTTATTACTGAACTCTGCGGAATAAGACCTCGGATGCCATTAAACATCATGTGCGTGGAAAGGCAGGTGTCCCAATACTTTTGGCAATATATTGTGTATATATACAAGTGAAACTCGAAAAAATTAGAATATCGTTCAAAAGTTCATTTATTTCTGTAATGCAACTTAAAAGGTATAAACTAATATATGAGATAGACTCATTACATGCAAAGCAAGATAGTTCAAGCCGTGATTTGTCATCATTGTGATGATTATGGCTTACAGCTCATGAAAACCCCAAATTCACAATCTCAGAAAATGAGAATATTCCATGCAATCAATAAAACAAGGATTGTACATAGAACAATATCGGACCTCTGAAAGGTATAAGCATGCATATGTACTCAGTACTTGGTTTGGGCCCCTTTTGCAGCAATTACTGCCTCAATGCGGCGTGGCATGGAAGCCATCAGCCTGTGGCAATGCTGAGGTGTCATGGAAGACTAGGATGCTTCAATAGCGGCCTTCAGCTCTTCTGCATTGTTTGGTCTCATGTCTCTCATCTTTCTCTTGGCAATGCCCCATAGATTCTCTATGGGGTTCAGGTCAGGCAAGTTTGCTGGCCAATCAAGCACAGTAATCCCACGGTCATTGAACCAGGTTTTGGTGCTTTTGGCAGTGTGGGCGGTGCCAAGTCCTGCTGGAAAATGAAGTCAGCATCCCCATAAAGCTCGTCTGCGGAACGAAGCATGAAGTGCTCCAAAATCTCCTGGTAGACAGTGGACCAACACTAGCAGATGACATGGCTCCCCAAATCAACACAGACTGTGGAAATTTCACACTGGACTTCAAGCATCTTGCAGTGTATGCCTCTCCATTCTTCCTCCATACTCGGGGTCCTTGGCTTCCAAATGAGATGCAAAAGTTGCTCTCATCAGAAAAGAGGACTTTGGACCACTGAGCAGCAGACCAGGTCTGTTTTTCTTTAGCCCAGGAAAGACACTTCTGACGTTGTTTGTTGTTCAGGAGCGGCTTGACAAGAGGAATACGGCATTTGAAGCCCATGTCCAGGATCCGTCTGTGTGTGGTGGCTCTTGATGCACTGACACCAGCCTCAGTCCATTCCTTGTGAAAGTCCCCAACACTTTTGAATGGCCTTTTCCTGACAATCCTCTCCAGGCTGCGGTCATCCCTGCTGCTTGCGCACCTTTTTCTTCCACATAACTTTCTATCAATGTGCTTTGATACAGCACTTTGGGAACATCCAACTTCTTTTGCAATTAGCTTTTGAGGCTTTCCCTCCTTATGGAGGGTGTCAATGATGGTTTTCTGCACAACTGTCAGGTCAACAGTCTTTCCCATGATTGTGATTCCTACTGAACCCGACTGAGAGACCATTTAAAGGCTCAGGAACCCTTTGCAGGTGTTATGGTTTAATGAGCTGATTAGAGTGGGACACTTTGAGCCGCGAATATTCCACCTTTTCACAATATTCTCATTTTCTGAGATTGTGGATTTGGGGTTTTCATGAGCTGTAAGCCATAATCATCACAATGATGACAAATCACAGCTTGAACTATCTTGCTTTGCATGTAATGAGTCTATCTCTCATATATTAGTTTCACCTTTTAAGTTGCATTACTGAAATAAATGAACTTTTGCACGATATTCAAATTTTTCGAGTTTTACCTGTACAGTATATGACTGGTTGATTGCTATCTCCCCTTTTGAGTTGTTCCAAGCTTCTAATGTAATTTCAATATGTGCTTTAAAATTACATCCCTTAACATAAAAAAAGGCCTTAATAGTTTATATATAAGTGATCCATGGTGTGGAGGAAAGCTCTCTCTCAAAAATGCAACATTTTGTTATTGTTATTCAACACATCAACATGGAGATGCTTTGAGGGAAGTGGTGACAGCTCTAGTTCATGGCTGCACACTATAAGATCTCCCCTCACAGAAGGAAGGGTTCCCTCCCCACCGCTCACACAGCCACTGACAACTGTATGTCCCCCAACACACTCCAGGATGTCTTCTCAGCGAAAAGAGCAGCCTCAGCCTCAGAAACTGTCCACTTTCTTCCCACCAGCTGGGTCTGCAGGAAGGGGGTCTTATTGAAATTTGGAAATTCCTTCAACAATAAGGTGGTCTCATATACCGCCTCCAATGGAAATGAGTATTGGGCATATAGTACTTAGTAAGTAAACAGCAAAGAGTTTTTTTACAAGTTCTGCTTTAAAGGAGAAGTAGGGCCAAAGTTCTTTTGGCCTTTCTTTCCCTACAGATCACAGGAGTTCACTTTGTTGTGCCCAGGGCTAAAGTCTGCTATCTGCTGGCATCATTCAGCTGATCCAGACTCTGGAGAGATCCCCACTTTAGTGCTGGATTCCCCCCAGATGCCTGGATTGACAGTTGGCTCAGACTCTCAGCATGCTGCTGATATCCTGAGCCAACTACTCCAGCCCCCTGCATGGCCTGGCATTCCCGTGAGCACTGGAGGAGAAGAGCAGAGAGCCTGTGACTGACAGTCACCTACTGTGTGCTCAATAAAGACAGAGATCTGAGCAATCAGTGGTCATTGATAGCAATCAAATAAAAATGGCGAGCGCTAGAGTCTTGGAGCTGCTTGCAACAAAGGTAAGTGACAATACCCAAAGAACAAATAAATCAAGATGGTGCAGTGCTATATATATATGACTACCCAAATAAATACATATGTACAATTATCATAAATCAATATACAAAATATATATATAAAACAGTGCTTATTAACCACTTGCCCTCCAGTGGATCCCCCCCCCCCCCCCGACCAGGCCATTTTTTGAGATACAGCGCTGCGTTACTTTAACTAAGAATTGCGCGATCATGCAACGCTGCACCCAAAATGGAATTTGCATCCATTTTTCCCATGAATGGAGATTTCTTTCTGTGGTATTTGATCGCGTTTTTTATTTTTTGCACTATAAAAAAGAAAGTCCGACAATTTTGAAAAAAAAAACTATATTTTTTACTTTTTGCTATTAAACATGTCCAGTAAAAAAATGTAAAAATAAAATGTTGTCATAAATTTAGACCAAAATGTATTCTGCTCCATGTCTTCGCTAAACAAAAAATCACAATACATGTAAATTAATTGGTTTATGTGAAAGTTATAGCATTTACAAATGGCGGTATATATAAAGGAATTTTTTTTTGTTATTTTTACTAGTAATGGCGATCAGCGACTTGTAGAGGGACTGCGACGGCCATTCTGACACTGGGGGGGAACTGACTTGGTGTCACTGACATCCAGTGGTGTATTTAGGTTTTGTGCTGCCCTAGGCAACACAAAAATCAGGCACCTCCATACGGAGAGAGCCTAACATTGACCAACAACACCCCTGCCCACCCCCCTGTGAGAGCCTTCCAATAGCACCCCCCCCCCCACATTGAGAGAGAGAAAGACACTCACCTTCACAGCTCTGGACATCCCCCGGAACAAGAGTCGGGTTCTCCATACACCATCAGGCAGCTGGCAGCCTCTCTCACGGATCTCACCTGGTCCCCATGCCACATGTGTCTCTTCTTCTATCCCTTCTTCCGGGGCAGCACTGCTGCTCCCCTGAAAAATGCCGCCCTAGGCAAATGCCTTGT